GTGTGATGTTGGTTTCAGAAAAACATTTTCTTTATTGTGCCAACGTTTCGATCTTTATTGAGATCATCTTCAGGGCCTGGGACCGCATCTCACGATTTCTAAATAAATAGTTGTTGTATTAATTGATTCCATATTTCTCTCGAAACCTTGTTTTATATGATTCCAATCAATTTTTTCTCTAACGAACCACAAGTTTAATAATTTAAAATTGAATAAGTCTTGAACATCTAATAATTCAGAACATTAGAAACCTCCAGAAAAGTATTTTATTGTTGCGTTTGTATGAACCTAAGGGCTGTTAATGTTTTAGATGCACATAGTCTATATGGAAGGCTTATGTACAGACGATATGCAATAAAAATCTCCAACTATGCCATATTATATGCACTAAAAACTTTAAATATGTTATAAGCCTAAGAACATTAAAATACACACTATGAATGTCAGAGCCATCACCCACCTTATAATTAACTTTTTTAACTTTTGATTTTTCCTTCTTGAAATTGGAATATTAGATCATATAAAAAAACAGCTTTTTTCAATGGATAACGTTTCGGATTTATTTTAATCCTTCCTCAGGTGAGTTAGTTATACACTGGAAAAAGATTTCTTAAATTTTTTGACAAACATGGTTATCATTGTTTTTGTACTACTTACAGTGGTTAAAACAGTGGTCATAAGTCGTTAATATTTTGTAATAACTTATTTTAAAAGAAATTAAGATGTGATACATTGTTAAGTCGTTCAGACTCCGAAAAGGTTTTAATATTTTGATCCTGACTAGACTCTTATCAAAGCTTGTCATGCGATGTTTCGACCCCTTATCAACGTCTTATCACAGACCAACGAATTAACATGAAAAAATCATTCAACAATTAAAGTTATATATTTCTTAAAAACGCATTTTTTTAACAACAATTTTTAACATTTTCAACAATTCACTACTTTCGTGGTCCGCTTGACCAATTAATACATCACAATTAATTAAGATTTTTAGTTGAGATGAAAAAAAGTTAATGGCACGAGCGGGATTCGAACCCACGATCTTCGGCTTGATACGCCACTGCTCTACCACTTGAGCTATCGTGACCTCGATCCACTCGGACACTAACTCCCCATCTCAACCCCACCTTATGAGTTTTCCCTCCTTTTGCCATTTTTCATCAAATTCAAGAAGGGAAAATTCAAAAGGTGGGGTTGAGATGGGAAGTTAGTGTCTGAGTAGATGGAGGTCACGATAACTCAAGTGGTAGAGCAGCGGCGTATCAAGCCGAAGGTCGTGGGTTCGAATCCCTCTCGTGCCATTAACTTTTTTTCATCTCAACTAAGAACCTTAATTAATTGTCATTTTCAACAATTATTAACACTTAAGCTCCCTCCAAAATTTAAAATTGACGAGCTAATTTCTATGTATTATATAACAAATTAAAATAACAGTCTCATATCATGTCACAGTCTTGACGGTAATTAACAGTTTATCGTTTTTTTATGGAAAAGGCTTCTAGGAACTTTCTTTTCTTCTTATTTCATACTTTTGTAACAATACTCATAACATAAAAATGTAAGGTTTTCAACAATTTCATACTGTGCCAAGGCAGTTTCCTGGCTTTTACTATTTTGAACTGCATATTGATGTTGATAGATCCTACTCTTTAGGAACTGTCTAATTTCACCATAACATAATTTATTGCAGTTTTTTCACTCAATTTTATATACAAGGCCTGACCCTAGTACTTAATCTTTCAGTGGAGATTGGTACTTTTTTACCGTAATACTGTTCCAGAAGGCCAACTTCACTATAAGGAACATCCCTTTCAGACATCTCAACTGTTCCGATAACCTTGTATATAAGGAAAAGTGACCTAGGAAATCATTTCATTTTCATCTTAAAGGTTTTCCAAATTATCATTTTTTCCGAACCAATATTTTGCCTTCAATGGCAAAACCTTTCGACGACAAATGGAAAACCCTTCTTAGTAATCAAATTACGGTCTTGTTAAAAGTAACTAAAGTTAAATCCTTACTGTCGAAGAGTAAGTCAAAAACGGTAAGTACTAAGGTTGACTTACAGTAAAACATCTATGTGCCTTCCTTCTTCCGAAATAATGTACCTAAAAGTCTGTCCTGCCACTCATTTCAACGGCACTCAAAATTCAATTTAATTTGAAAAATTCCTGAAAAAATATTCAATTAAATTGTCCTACTGTTTTTTTTATTACACCGAAATTATATTTTTTTATAATGTCCAAACAAGAGGTTCATCACATTGGGATCGAAAGCGAAAATCTCACAATTAATTAATTACATTGAATTTAAAATTTATTATTTGGAGAGTTGCGGTCTGGTTTTTAGAAAAACATTCTTTATCATGCTAACGTTTCGGTCTTTATTGAGATCATCTCCAAGACATGGGATTTATAAACATTGTTTNTTTCTAGCATTATACAATTTTTTTTAAATTTAGTTTTCTAGCTTTCTATAGTTTTATTCTTTTTTAAATCTAAAATTTTCTAGCTTTCTATAGTTTTATTCTTGTTTAATCTAAAGTTTTCTAGCTTTCTATAGTTTTATTCTTTTTTTTTAATCTCAAATTTTCTAGCTTTCTATAGTTTTATTCTTTTTTTAAATCTAAAATTTTCTAGCATTATACAATTTTTTTAAATTTAAAGTTTTCTAGCATTGTATAAATTCATAATTTTTTCCACACCCTCCATGTATTTGTAAAACTAAACGATGTTTATAAATCCCAAGCACTGAAGATGATCTCAATAAAGATCGAAACGTTGGCACGATAAAGAAAATGTTTTTTTTAAACCTACGTCACATCAGACCGCATCTCACGACCCCCAAATAATCATTAAAGAACGGTCACTAAACACCACACATTACAATTTAGTCATTTTAACCAGGACCTATATACAAAGAACAATTTATTGAAATAAGTAATTTGGTCAATTACACCACTAAACATAAATGTATTAATGTTTAGTAAGTAAAGAAGAATCACTTCACTTCATACATCGCTGATAATCGAATCCTGATTACACGACATTTGAAAAATGGCAAAAAGATTACAAATTCGAAAGGTTGTAGGTTGAGATTAGGAGTTAGTGTCCGAGTGGATCGAAGTCAGTATAGCTCAAGAGGTTGGATGGCGTATCTAGCCGAAGGTGGTGGGTTCGAACCCCGCTCGTGACAATAAATTTTTCATCTGAACCAAAACGTTACATGAAAAGATTAATCAATTACTTTCACCCCGAGGTTGTCACTCAACGATGTACCTGGGTACGATATCAGGGTCGCTACTATCCACTCAACCGAGACGTCCGGTTCGTCCTTTCCCAACCAACGTTTTTCGCCTTCGGAGGCTTTCGACAGGTCAACATTAGCTCCCGACAAATGCTTAATACAATCATAAAACTAGCTTCTACAGTACAGAAGCATAAATAAATATATTCAAACTTATGTACATTTCACTTATTCTGGTTGTCGGTCAAGTACGCGAAATGCCTTAATCGACCTATATACAGTATTAACAATCTAATCAAAATTATGGTAATTTTCTACCCCAAAACAAACACACTGCTAGAGAGGCGATGATGATATTTTACAATCAGCCCCTCACCACTCACACTGATAAATACATCCACTGAAAACACATAAAACAGACGAAAAAGTTAGCGTCACAAGCGGGATTCGAACCCATGGCCTTCGGCTCAATATGCCGCTGGTCTAACCACTTGAGCTATCGTGACACTCCTGTGTGAGAGCTGCGGTGTATTGAGCCAAAGGTCGTGGGTTCGAATCCCTCTCGTGACACTAACTTTTTTCATTTCAACCCGACCTTACATAAAAAAATAATTAATTGAAAGAAATAATTTGGTCAATCAGGCCACTAAACATAATGGATTACTTTTATAGTTAAAATCAAAACTAAAATATTGAAAATACAAGACTTTCGTCAGAAGTTGATATAAATTTTAGAAATTTAATTACTTTACTCGTTTTGCATTCGTTATGCGTTCACTCTTTACAAGGAAACATCTGAAAAGTTCCTGTAGCCACTTACTTACACGCGTATGTAATTAATTCCTTTTAGAACATATGAAGAGTTGTTTAATTGGCATTTTATGGTACAGAGCATTACCTCGTAATTTAATATTGTAAATACTCGAAAGAAAATCTACGGGTCAAAACTGCTTACACCAGTGAACAAATTTTTTAATTACAATTATAACTTTAACTGGTTTAAAGTTAGAAGAAATTAGTGAAACGAACTGTCTGAAGGGATAAAGATAAACAAAATTATTCTTAAAATGTTCGTAAAGACAAAATTGATGTCATGTAAAATTTTGATTCAACCCTGCCGTGTTTAAGGTTGGGTTTTGGGGTTTGCAATGTTGATGGTATGGAAATAGGGGCACGGTTTCTCCGAGGTTTCCTGCCCCAAGAAGATCGAGGACGGCATCCCTCAAGGTTCGGTGATGGACGTTGGACTTTTCTTTGTGGCGGTGAACGATATCCCTGATAAAAGTCTAGATAAGGAAGATGCTCTGTGGCTACTACCTTGTACCATTCGTGGATCTGGCGGAGACCGGTTTTAGACATCGACGAAAACGGTCTGTGTCCTTTTTGCAGATTGAGAAGAGCCTATAACCATCTTTAACTCAGCCTGAGGAGTACACCCGTGTGGTATGTCTAGAAGTGCAGTTCCCAGGCCTTCTATTTGTTTAGAAGTTTGCGTTTAATTCCTTTCTCTACTCCATTTTACATTGAGTTCAAGAGAGAGAGATAGATCTTCTTGTTTCTGTCTTATTTTATCCTTGACCTCATTCTGCTTTGTGATCAAGTCGTAAGGTATTTTCTCTGGCTGTTCATTGCTGCTTGAATAAACAGTTAAATTCGAATCTGGCTTGTTCATGATAATTTCACTTTGACATTTCGCCTGAGGTTTGGTTCGGGTAAAATTGTTCGACGACACCTTGAGTATCGTCTTGTTCTTAAGACTTTGGCTCTCGACCGTCAAAAGTGCTAGTAAGATTCTTTGGTTGATATATGGGAATGATTTGTTTTTCACCATTTGGCATTACTTTAGGGGGTGTCCTAGGAACTGCACAAATTGGAGTGAAATGAATGAATTCTGACGTAATTGAATCACGCCCAGGGACTTTATTATCTGTAGAAAGTGAGGATGTTGATGAACAGAGCAACTTTTCAGTTAATAAATCGTCTTGTGTGTATTCTTCTAACTCTTCATCAACGAATACTTGTTTTCTTTCATTTGGAAGGGCTTCTCCCTGACGTTTTTGGGACAGATTTTCACTACTGCTCTGCTGAGATAACTTATTCTCATCTTCACTGGCCAATTTGGTAATCAATTCATCAAATTCAAGCTTAATGCTGCTTTTCTTGGTTGGGTTTGTTGAAGGAGTGTGGTCGATGTTCTTTTTAGGGTATAGCCCATCTTTGCCTTTTTTCTTTTTCTTGATTTCGTTGGGGTATTGAGACTTGACCTCCTCCCAGGATGGCTGGTTGACGATCTTCTTCAGGTTCTTGGCGGGGCGGAGGAAGGTGCCAATCCTCTTCCTGCAGATGGGGCAGACGAGGCTGTTCTTCTATACCGTACGCTGCAGACAGTTGAGGCAGAGGTCGTGGTTGCACGGCAAGAGACAGGCTCGATGTAGATTTCCCAGCAGAGGACGTCCTGGACATCCAACTTGTGGTGATCCAGAGGAACCACGACAGACGGCCTTATCCAGGGCCTCATCACCACCCATCTCTTGCCTATCCCCCCAGGTTGGTTCTGCCCATGGAGACCGTCCACATCCACCGGGAGTGGGTGGAAAAGGATATATGCCAAAAAGGAGGAGAGAGGGGATATTCTGTTTCCTAAGGTTGCTGGGCGGCGGAAGAAGAAAAGGGCTGATTGCAGAAAAGGAGAGAAAGCAAAGAGGAGAGAAAGGAAGAGGACAGAAAGGAAGAAAGGAGGACGTTTTCTCGGACGGGACCAACCCAGGACACCGGACCACCTCAGGAAAGGTCGGCAAGCCTCTTTTTTCTTCGCTCGCCCCCTATCTCTGAAGACATTCATTTGGTATTCATAAACGGATGTAAAAACGAAATCTTTCATGTAAATAAAATTATTGTTTTCTAATTGGAGGAAAATTTTGGGATCCCGAACTCTACCTTGCTCCCCAGCTCCTGACAGTAAAAATCAGTACAAATTTCCTCAAGACGCGACATGCGACCGGATTGGACATCTCGCCGGTGAAGGCTGAACCTCCAGATCGTTAATTTTTTTTGACAAGAAGTGACGCCGGGTTAAAACGAAAGAAGAATTTGATCGATTCTAGGTGGGATGATGGAAACCGGCGAAAACCGTCAAGCATAAGATAGCCGGCAGAACGATAATCAAACACAATAACAAACCGACACAGAGCACAGACACTTTGTTTAGAAGTTGAGGTGACTGCCATGCATCGACACCGTTGAGCTAACGAGCAAGAGAATCCTCCCACGGTTGAGACTTGTTGATCTTTAGGTTGAGAGATGACAGGAAGACACTATAAAAACTGGATTCTATGCTATGTTCTAGGGTTTACATTAGATGTATGGCTTAATCCTCAGCCCAAAAAACGCCCATGAGAAAGTTCTCTAGGCTCTATTATCAGGGCCTTGGGGCCATCTTGGATGCTTTCAGGACCAGCCCTATGGTCAGTCTTTGCTGCAGCTGGGGGTCTTTCCCCCGAACCCGGAGAGAGAAATTTACACCCAGTTACGAGGCCGAGTTCTTTGGCTCTTCGTAACTTCCATAGTACTTTAGTTTAGTTCACTTGATTAATTCTACATTTAAGCACCGCATGGGACCGCCGTAACTGAATAGTGTGTTAGAATATCGGCTCGTAAACCTCGCGGTCGTTGGTTCCATTCTCAAACTCGGGTGTGTGTATTAATTTTGAAGAGGGTTCTTTTTATCATTAGTTTACTCTGTTAAATTCTAGAGTTAGTTGGTCTATTGTTTTGTAGACCTATACTGAGATAGACGGGTCTATGTTTGATCTTGTTAACACAGGTATATTTTCTGGGCTTATATACGGTTTTCCAGAGTCTCCTTTGGATAATTTTCTGCTTGTCATGAAAAGGCTGGGATTAATGTTGATTTTGATTTCTGGTATAGAAAAAACTCACTTATTTCACGTTTTGATGGCACAATAACGGCTTTTAAGCTGGGCGCACTCTAGGTCGGTTGGGCGGCGCGGCTCGGAATTGTGAAGGTCCGCACATTATTTGAAAGATTTTTGGCTTGATCCTCTTGATATTATTAAATGATATAAACATCAAATCTTCCTATGTAAATAGAAATGTGTGACCGTTAATTAATGATTATTTAGAGATCGTGAGATGTGGTGCGGTCTGGTGTGATTAACATTTGAGCTGGGCGAATACTAGGTCGGTGGGCGGCGCGGCGCGGAATTGTGAAGGTCCGTACACTATGTAGGAACCGCTCTAGGCCGCGTTGGTCGAATTTTCCCCCTCCATTAGCGCTGCGGTTTAGCGTTGATTTTGCATTTCCAGGAGTCACCACGTCACAATCGTTGGCTGCGTCTTTACAAATATGGCGACCGAGGACAGCCGAATATATCCGAACTCCGATTTCGGACCGCCCCGGCGCACACTAGGCCGTTAGCGCGGCGCGGCGCGAGGTTCCGGAAAAAGGGCATCTTCCTCCGGCTTCGCGCCGCGCCATCGACCTAGTGTGCGTCAAGCTTTAAGATCACTTGCAGAGAAAGTCGGAGTGATAATCGACTGTCATATTTTTAAACCTGAGTGTAAGAATGGCACATAAAACAGTTTCATTGTTTCTACATGGTTGCTAAACCTGAAAAGAGTCAAATTTTGAAAGTAAACTTTAAGCCATATCATCCCAGTGGTAAAAAGAATATACTTTATGTAATTATAGGACAAGGAAATTTTTTTACATCTTTTATCAGCATTTCTCTTGTTTCTCTCTCTTTCTCTCTTCTTCTTCTTCTTACAATGGATACCAGGAACTGGAGAAGTTCCCTCCTGAGCACTGCAACTGTAGAGCTAATTGTACTTTATCCTTGGCTCCATTTTTGGGGGCTGGCAACACAAGTGTGAATTTGAGCCTCCGGTGTGCCGGTGTTCGTTCATCGAAGAAACTCATTTTTGAAGGGGGTTGGGACCAAATTCAGGGACGCTGAGATCTGATCCCGCTCCTTCCATTGATGAGAGCCGTGTCAATTTCTTTCAATTGCGGCCACCGGTCCCCTTAGGCTTAAGAAAATGCCCAGAGGCGACGGTGGGGATCGAACCCACGACCGCGGGATCTACTAGCCGATAGTCTGACGCCTTACATTACACGCCATTACACCAGTTTTCGATAAGCTCAAGGTGTTCCTGGATGTTGGCGGTGGCTTGGACCGCATTCAAGTTAGAGAGAAGGATTGTGGTGTCATCCGTGTAGGTGGTGATTATAGTGTTAGGATATATTGGTAGGACAACAGTGTAAATGAAGTAAAAGATACCAAGGATACTCCCTTGCGGTACGCCGCACTGTATCTAATTTCCGAGAACTCATTGCCGTTGCTTATTTAAAACTTGAACAGTTTTAAAGAAAGTATTTTTTTCGTGAACGTTAAACATTAACAAAAGATTGAAAATTACACCTTCATTGTGCATATTACATCAAGATAATTAAACAAATATCCAATCTGCAGATATAATATTGAAAGAAACGTTTTTTTTTAATTCAGATCTCCTTCCATTGATTAGAACCGTGTCAATTTCTTTCAATTGCTGCCACCGGTCCCCTTAGACTTCAGAAAATGTCCAGAGGCGACGGTGGGGATCGAACCCACGACCGTGGGATCTACCAGCCGAGAGACTGACGCCTTAGCCACTCGGCTACCGCGGACCACGTCACTCTCTCTCTCCCCTCTCTCTCTCTTTTCTCTCTCTCTCTCTCTCACTCTCTCTCTCTCTCTCTCTCACTCTCTCTCTCTCCCTCTCTCTATCTATCTATCTATCTAACGATCTATCTATCTATCTACCTATCTATCTATATATCTATCTCTCTATTTCTATCTCTCCGTCTCCATTTCTCTCGCTCTCTCTACCTCCCCTCTCAAACTCTCTCTCTCTCTCTCTCTCTCTCTCTCTCTTTCTCTTTCTCTCTCTCACACTCTCTCTCTGTCTCTTTCTCCCTCTCTGTCTCTCTCTCTCTCTTTCTCTCTCTCACACTCTTTCTCTCTCTCTCTTTCCTTCGCTCTTTACGACTAAAGCCAAGCAGACGACTAGATCATGCCTTCAAAAATTAATAATGTTTGCAAAAATGACTTATTCATTTGGCAATTAAACTTAATCATTATTTGACGAAAATCATTTTTATTTGTTTTGGTTGTTGTTAAATTTATGTGATGGGGTATTTATTGAACTTCACAACCTCATTCTTTTAGGTTTTATTGCCAATACGAAATTTCAGGTCCACTGCCGGTACCTCTTTTCAAGGCTTGTTTGATCTCAGAACATATTTTTATAGAGTATTTTCTGAGGATAAACAAGCCTTGAGTAAAACAAAGAAGAAGAAATGATGAATGGTGGAGTGAGTGAGATGTTCAATCTTTTTAAAAAGATTAAACAAAGAAGTTGTGAAGTTCAATTATTACCCCGCACATTTATTATTATTTAGTGAATTGTCCAGAAAGAATAAGATAATTTCCAAGTCAACTATTTTGTATCCGTACATTTCGGACAGAATTGAAAAACGGACGGCTTAAAATGAATAATACACAGAAGGCGGTTAGGATTAGGAGCCGAGTAAGCAATGACCATTTCCGTCCGTCAATTCGTTTAAGTGTTAAAAATGTTAAATAAATGTTTAACCGTCTTAGTTTTATCGCCTACTTTAGTGTTTAACTGCGGGCTTGGTGCTAAATGGGTTCTGTAAAAACGGCCAAGACCTCTAATACAATTCTCACCCCGTAGCTTGTCCCAGAAGTTGCCAAGAATTAGATAATTTTCTCTTAACAACACCCTGGGGATGGACCGGTCGTGAATGACTTACGAATCTCTTTTCCTCCACAGGGATATTTAATTATCTACGACCTTCATTTTATATTTAAATTTTTGTTAAAACTTCAGTAGAAGACTGTACATATATCGGACTCTCAACATACGTTAAAAACTTACATATCCTAAAATGAAGAAACCTGTCAACATGACTAAAAAAGTGATTTTATAACACTTTAAACGACATTAGTATATTGAACGTTGAAACATTCTAAATCCTGCATTTTATAATTTCAAAGAAAAAACCATAAGCTTTCCATGATGTAAACAATTTTAAGGATAATTTTCACCGAGTGAAACAAACTGGAGTCAACCGCTCTTCCTCTCATTTTACCAAAAGTTCAACAACGGAATTAACTTTTCCGCAGGTCATTACTATGTGTGAAGGGGAAGTGTAAGGCCGACTCTTGTGCGAACATTCTGGCTGGCAGCAATCAAGGGTCTGGGCGCATGTGAGCTCCGATAACAAGAACCGAGTTAATTTGCCACCCGAAACTGCCCTAATTAGCGAGGTGAAAGGGGAATTTTGAACAGCGTGAAATTTTAACCACTTTTATAAACTGAACATCCAGGTCGAGGTAAACAAGCGGTCTCAGCTCAGTTTTTTTACTGTGAATTTTTCACGCTACCATTTTCATCACCATCAAACAAACGTTTTCCATTTAAAAAAATACAAAAACTATAG